TTGATGGAGGAGGCCGAAATTAAAAGGTAAAAATAATTAAGATCGAATTATGAAACACATATATGTCATTACAAAACTATTGACGAATCTTATAAAAATAATAGCTGTTTTGTTCAGTCCCTATCACGGAGTGTTGGTTGGCGTCAGTCGTTCCAGACATAATATGATACATAAAACTTCTTACCAGAGGAGGAAAAGTAACCTTCGACACAATTCCTTTCACTCTTCGATCTATAGTGTAGAATGTGTGGGTGCGTTAGCTACTCAACCGTGTTCTATTGCCCCTCCATTCCCATGTTTACTGAGGGAATGAAAGCCTGGTTGCACTCTGCTTGTAGGTAAAAAAAAACATTTCCTCGCTCCATGTCGGCCTCCTGAGAGACAATAAAACCACCACGGATCGATAGTTCAGCACACTACACGCCCTCCACCGCTACACCAGGCCTTAAACCCTTCACCTGTGAGGAGGCTTCCGGCGAACACACACTCACACTATGTTTCTGCAAATCCTGATACACAAATTAGTTTTTTCGTTGTATTTGGCAGACATGGGAGTATTCTGATGTTCAAATTGATAGTGTATATGTGCAAATGTCAGTTCTGTATATTGTTGAACTTGTCATTCTTCTCGTCGAGAGTATAATATGCAGATAGGTTTGTAAAATGTATTAATGAAGCAAATATTTTTTTTTATCAATGGGAGTAATTCTGTTGTTCCATTTCACTCCGTATAATGCTGACAGGCTTTCAGTGAATGATACATTATAATTGCACAAAATATAATAGTCCAAGGCACTAGGCAATAAATACACTGCAGGGATATTCTAATCCTCTTTTTCTATTTATTTTGCCATTTTTCATTACCTCTGTTTCTCATTTCTCTTTCTCTCTTCCCGGCCATCGCTTTGTTCCTCTCTTGCCTCTCATATAATAAACACCAAGCAGAGTCATGTCAATCGATACAGTGTTCTCGTAAATATATTAACGGCACAACACAATATTATTTCTCATCACAATAAGTCCTTAATGGAGCATGACACATTATCCTTCAGAAAGTGAATCTCTTATGAAGGTTTTCAGTGTTAAATTCATTGGGTAATTGTACCCTTGGGAACACCTGTGGAGGATTGGTTTCGCCGAACAACGACGGGGGTTCGAATCCTCTAAACAACATGAGTTGATTTTAGTCTATGAAACTCGAGAATGGATCACGAGGGTCAGAACTGCCATGTTTGCTGTATCTAGTCATCAGCGCGGTTTGTTGATTGTCATGAGTATCGATACAAATATAACAATAGATTTATGCGCTCACTCGAAATACATTTTGGTTGTAGTGAAATTTAATTGATGGTAGAAATATAATACAGAAGTAGTAGGAGCAGTAGTAGAAGTCGTATTAGTAGGCTAATAAATAGTAGTACAGTAGTAGTAGTTGATGTATTAGTATTAGTATCGTTAAACAAAAGAATACCGATAAAAATTGCATACTATAAAATAGATGAGAAACTAACAAAGATAAACTAGAAAATGAGCGTACACTGGATCTGTTCTAGCAGAGTGAGTCAAATCAGAAAGGAAAATCTGTTAATGGGTTGTATAAATTGTTGTAGACTTAATCGAGTCCATTCTCGCGTGTAAGGCTAAAACTGGATTCACTGTTATCTGATTTGGTCTAATTTTGTTCTTTATTTTTGAAATAAATTAATTGAACAAAATGATTCTTTAACATAGATAAAATATGTCAGTTATAAACATAAGAGAAAGACGGATTTTTTTTTCCAATGCGCTATTGACTGAATGAGTGAAAAATACTGCTATTATTAATGAAGGGGATGTATTACACCAGAGACTAACGGGGGAATTGTCGGAGGCTATTTTTACGTTCTATACGATAAATACAGTATAAGAGTACTTGTCCAGAGTACTTTTTGCTTACCTATTGCGTCCAAATGGTACCTTAGAATCTACCTTCTTACTTTCTCTGTCCTCTTATTTACCATCTATATCATTACCATCTACCTCTGTCATTACCATCTACTTCTATCATTACCATCTACCTCTGTCATTACCATCTACCTCTATCATTACCATCTACCTCTATCATTACCATTTAACTCTATCATTACCATCTACCTCTATTATTACCATTTACCTCTATCTTTACCATCCACCTCTATCATTAACATCTACCTTTGTCATTACCATCAACCTCTACCATTTCTTTTTTTGGTCCTTTTTTTTTTGGTGTTATCCCGTCAAGTTAATCACTACTATGCTCTCGTCACATGAAAGACTCTTCCAGGGATTCTTTACCCAAAGTCTTATAACTTACCTTCTTGAATGCTATCCTCTTCCTCATTGCCAGTGGCATCCCCCCCACCCCCCACATCGCTCCCAATATCAATACATCCGTTTTTTTGTTTTTTGCTGAAATTCTTTCATTATATCTAAGTCAAATATTGCAAATTCTTCCAAGAACTCATTACCTTAAAGCCTCATT